TATATATATATATATATATATATATCTATCTATTCTTCTTTCTCTCTTTCTATCTATTTATCTACGTCTATGATATTTACAGCGACAAAGGAAAAAACCATCGTGCGTTATCATCGTGGTATCTCCCCGCCGACAATTACCTAAAGATTACATGTTTCATTACATGTTGTTTTCTTTTTTTTTTAATATGTATCAAAACCGCGCACTTCTCGTAGAAATACTGATCCCACTAAATGTCTCCCACAATTAATTGATATCTACATTTTCGGCTGAATGTCTCTTAGTGACGAGCATTCAATCACGGTCATCTTACTTTCGCAATTAATTTATTTGAATACGCAGTTACAGGGATCATCTTCTCTCTCAATCTCAGGAATTTTGACACATGTTATCGAGGTCATCGTCCTGAGTAAAAATGTGAAAGTTTTAGCCAACGGTTGCTGTTCATTAAAAAGTTATTATCGAAAAAAGTTTGAAAAGTGAAATGTAATTATTTGCTTATTTGGCGAGAAAAAAGTTACAACGTGAAACTTTGGAAAAGTGTAAATTCATGTGGAATCTCGCTTCGCGTGGAAAGTGTATACATAGAGATGTGTGCACGCAGGCCTTTCCCTACGGGCTCCATTGTCAAGAAATTAAAACACATAGGTTTATAGATTGAACTTCGCTTTGCATGGAAAATTGAAAACCCGTACAAAATCTTTGCTACAACAAGCGACGGCTGAAACTGAGGCAAGGTTCTACGTAAGTTTACAACTTTCCACGTAAAGCGAGGTTCAATTCAAACCTAGGGTAAAAGATCCAATTATTGTCACCTGAATAATAAACTCTGGCGTTAACAAATTGTTTTTTTACTATTTATTTATCAAAAACATGTGTTTTTCTTCTTATCTGGTATTATTCGATGTCTCTGATATAAGAAACAAAATAATACCGCCTCTAAAAATCTCTGTTTTTATTTATAAATTTAATAATTAAAAAAGGATGATGCGAGAGCTATTATTGTCACCCCTAAAATGAAAGAAACGAGACAAGAATGTTAAGTGCTGGATTTTTTATTATATTAATTGCACTTAAAATTCTATGTTAGATTGTTTTCATACATAACTTTTTAGGATTTATTTAATATTTTAAATAAAATAGCTTAGGGTGACATTAATTGGGCAGATGACAGTAATTGAGTCTTTTACCCTATGTGTTTAGGTTTTTGAAAGTAAAGCTCTCCCGTATAGAGAGCAGAATTGTCTTTACGCATACACTTTCCACGCAAAGCGAAGATCAATCTAAACCTATGTATTTAATTTTTTGAAAGTGGAGCCTTCGTAAAGGAGTCTGCCTCCACATGTACACTTTCCACGCGAAGCGAGGTTCTCTATATGAGTTTATAGTTTGCCAAATTTTCAAGGTTTGCTGGTTTCTAACAATCATTTGTGTAATTATATTTTTTATTAATAAGTTTTCAATAAACAATAAGCGACAGCTAAAACCGAGGCTACTCAGGAGAGTAGCTCTTGACCATGATGTAAGGAAGATAAGATGTTTAATTGCGCATAATAGCGGAGCAGCCGATCAAATTGTTGCCTCACATGTAGCGCGAAATTAATTAAATTAATTAAATTGATTACAATAAATATATGAATCAATCAGTTTTTTGCACTATGTAACGTTTGTATTTTTTTTTTTTACAAAAAAAAACGCGAATATCTTTTACCGCACAAACGACTTGACTGAGCTAAAATCTGCTAGCACGTCACAAAAGTAGTTGCTTTTCACATTTAGGCAACTTTCTGATTGGTCGAACACTGCGCATCTCGGGAATGAAACACTTTATCTTCTCACATCATGGCCTTGACAACATATAAAATACATATATACAAGCGTTTATATACAGTGGCATTTAAATACATACTATTCGTTAGATGTTTTTTGTTAATAACATTTTAACCAATTAACAACGATCGCCGGCTAAAAATCTTTATAGTATTATTCAGGAAAATAACTTTTGTTAACATATGTCAAAATTGTCGAAATCAAGAAGTGGTTTCCCTGCATAATTATCTTAATTTTTATAAACAAACTGTTTGTACTGGTAAATCCTGATAGGGTAGTAAAACTACGTGACTGCTAAAATAGTTGACCAATAAAATATATAAGTTTCGTAGATTCACTAGAATGACGAGAGAAAATTAGAAAAACAAAAGAGAAAACTAATTTTATATATATATATAATTTTGCACAAAATTAAATTGAATTTAATTCACAATATTGACCGTGATAAATAGTAAAGTCTTTTCTCATTCAAAATTTTATTATTGTGATATTTTCTTGGAAAAAAAAGAAGACTGCGAGGGAAGAAAAAGACGCGTCGGAAGCATTCGGAAACAAACGTTGCTTCGGACGTTCAGAAAAAAGACTATTAGAATTCGTGCGCTCAGAGTTTCTCAGATTGCAAATGTATATATATATATATATATACAGTTTTGGTATTGATCGCGTTCTTGCAAATACTCATCATCGGGATCAAATATCTTGCGATATATTACGAACAATCCTCGCGCGTCGCGCACCCCCGTTGTGTATCGTAAAAAGGTCTCAGCGGTAATTGGTTATCGCGCGTTTTACAATAAATTTTCACAAGCGACTCTCGGACGACCCGTCATCGTGTCACGTCGCCGGGACATCGTTGCGAGGAAACGCGCGATGTCGGCCAGTGGATCGTTGTTCTGCTTGCGCATTGGATCAATGAAGAGCGCAGCTCGTGCGAAACGTCCGCCGCAGCGCCGATCGAACGGCGAGGCCTCGGACTCGCTCGAAATATACGGGGCTATACATACCTAAACGAGACGCGATTTTCTCGGAGATATGATATATTCGAGCATACACAATATTGCTAAGATTTTAATGCGCGTCGCCTATAGTGTCTCTTCGTGCGCGCGTTAAAATATTGAACGGGAGACAAATATTTCTAAAAAAACATATATGTGATGATGTAATGAACACAAATATGCATGTTGGAGTGGTAATGACGACGACAACGACGACGACAACGACGACGACGACGACGACGACAGCGACGACGACGAAACATGCATCTTAAGACACGCTCGTACTTGGTTTCAGATATTGTAAATTGAAGTCGACACGCGGAGTCGACCCTTATCATGATTGTAATTTCAGTCAGAACGGAGCGAATTGACATTTTCGGGATACGCGGTTCTCGCGCCATTCCCACCACTACCCTTCCCCCATCGTCTGTAATCCTTATCTCTCATCGCAATGGCGTCGGTAGCTCCCCTTGTTCCTATTCTCAGTCTGCTCGTTTTCTCTCGCTCACGGGTGATATTGATCCTCCTACCGAGGTCCACCCACGAGCAACGTTAAGCTGCCGTTCGATCTAGTGTGGGGTCGTAACACAGATGGAGATGCGCGAGAAAGTCAACCCCTTTGTTCGTTCGAGAGTTTAAAAATTGGACGGAAAAAGGGAAAAAAACCGACAAAAACGTGAATTCAATAAATTTGCAAAGACCGTGAGCGGAGAAAAAGACTTGAACAAAAATTTTCGAAATATGAAAAATTTTTGAATCAAAAAATCTTGAAAAAATAAAAATTAGAAGAAAAGGATATAACATATTGAGAGATATAGCAAAATGTCAAAAAAATCTCGTGCGTTGCACATCGTGAAATGCTTATATATGTTATTGCGGTGAACAACTGGATAGTGGCGCATTAATTTTAGGACGGATCGATACGACGCGATAAGCCGTAATGGTTTATCGTCCCAGAATTTTCCGCATACCGAATAGATAGTTTCGAGTACGGAGATTAATAGATCGTTGAGATTACAAATTTCACGAACGATAATACACAATGATGTAATTAACAAGACGGAGATTTTGGAAAAGTTTAAATTCAAGTAAAAAAGATATTTTAGGAACTCACACAACGCTTTTTTATTATATTAACAATTCGAAATTCAACATGGAATTTATTCTATGTACGAAAAATGCCCGTGTTATATAATCATTTATAAATATTTATAAATAATATATGATATATATACGTATTATATATATATATTTTATATATATATATATATATATATGTGTGCCCCAACCAAGATTACTCCCGAGAAATTAAACACGTCGTAACCTTTGCCTCGATTATGTCGTGTTCCTTCACAATCAACTGTCGGCAGTATAAAAATCAAGGTTTCAACAATAATATCGTCACGATTCTTGTCTGTGGATTCTTGATACAAGCCTTTGAATATATGATGACGTCGTAGCTTTGTTTTCTAATAACTTGGTAACAAACTCGATCAAATTTTTTGTTTAGGCACTGCTGTCAACATCACCGATATCTGCTTAGAAAGAGAGAAACAACGATCCACTGCGACAATCGACATCACGCACTTTGCTCTCTTGGTTGGTCCCTGATGCTCTTTTTTTTTTTTTTTTTTACAACAATGCGCAAGGTATGTCTCCCCGTTTTTTTTCCCTCGCTATGTGAAATATACAAAACGATAAACAAACTTTAATATAATTGGCAATTTTTTTTTTTTATCGTTTTACAAAGATATTGATGTGAGAATCAGAGCGTCTGTCTCTCCTTCAATTCCCCCTTTTTTTTTTTTTAGATTATGTTTTATGGCCCCAATATTTTACAAGACGATAGTCCGCCCGAATGAAAATTTAAAAAATTATTATTTCCTAATTCACTTAGCGCGGAACTCGCTAAGATTATTCAGCGAGAAGTCGCGACAAATAACGATAAAATCCAATCAGAAGTCTCGTGCACACTTTCGGCGAACGATTGAGGATGTGCTTTCTATAATTATATATGCACACGGGATAATCAATAACTGCCCGTTTCTCTATATTAATATCTACAATATTAATACTTCCCTTCTCTGTTGTAGGTTTTTCTTTTTTTTTTAAAACTGGTACTTTTGATTAGATGAACCACAGATCACTATTCCTTTTTGTTACTTATGGAATGTATCTCTATTTGGAAGAATAGTTTTGCAGATTTCTTTTTTGTAGCATCGAACTACTACGTTGTGTGTCATCGTTAATTAAATTTAAGCAATAATCACAAAACCTTCTTGAAAATGTTAAATATTATATATTAATAATCGTTTTTGATGAAAAAAAAGTAAGGACAATATACCGCATTTATCTGAGAAAGACGTAAATTGCTTTTTAAATATGAGTAGTTCGCCGCGTCAAAAAACGAAATCTACCGTGATTATTTGTGTGCAACTTTGACAAGTAGCGCAATATAGCACATTTGAAATTAAACTTAATAAATATATTCGATTAGCAAATGTGCCCTATCGCTGACTATTCGTTTCACGTTCCAAATTTTCTGTCAGTCTCGCACAAATTTCTCTTGCACGCGCGTTTTTCACACATATAATTTTACCATCTCTCTTTCATCGCTCGTTAAATCACACTATATTTTATTATATATATAATAGATATTTATCTATATTTATATCATAAGTTCCTTACTTTTATATGTATAATTTTTATATGTTTATTCGGCTAAACTGTGTGCGGTCTCTTAAATTTCTCTAATTTTTTTCAATATCTATATACAGTGAAAAAGTTTTATTTTATTTTAAATACATAGTAGCAATGTGACCTGCTGAATAGTATTTTTTTTTTTTTTTTTATTCTTCTTCTCTCTCATGTACACATAAAGTTTTTTTCTTTAATCAATCAAATTAGCGTGTGCAAATTTCTACCACGCAGTCACGAACTCATAAAATCGAATGTTTGATAATTGACTGTGTTTGTTAGTTATAAATGTACTATTAACGGCGTAATTAAATACGATATTCTCTAATGTTTATAATTATATTATTATTCTTAGAAATCAAGTATTAACGCTCGGCCAAGCTTACCCAATCTTGTTTTTTCTTAGAAATTTGGGTCAAACCAGCGCAAGGTAACCAATTTCTCTGTAGCCGAATAAGTTTATACAAATAAATTCTAATCGGTTTTCGTACCGGTATTTTTATCTACTTGGATTTTGGCGTGAAAGGTCAAAAGAGAGGAGAATCGTCCTGTGGAGTACTCGTCAAAGTCATCATAAATGTCGTCGACGCAAGCACTCGAAAATTTATCGATCCTTCTCATTACAGCCAGCCGTTACAGACAAACTTGAAAAAATAGGAATCGGCTTCTATTCAAGTGCGCAATCGAATAAATAACCGATAGTTAGAACGATTTCCTCTTGATGTCCCACGCTATCATTTCTGTCAGCTAATGTTTTCGCCAAACGCGGCGATTATACATATATATATATATTTATATATGTATAATTGCCGCGTATATATAATATATATATATATATAATAATAATATATATATATTATTATTATTATAGTATTAAATTATACTAAAAGATGATTGCCTAAGAAAATAGTCGGCGGTCGCAAAAACGGCAACCGAGAATGCACTACGGTCGGTTGTAAGACGCTGTCATACCGGTGGGTAACTGTTCCTCAGTCATTAAGTGTGTAAAATGAAGTACTTTTAGCGGATGATATCGCGTACACGTCATCAATTTACTCATTGATTGAATTAATTTGATTTTTTTTTTTTTTTTTTTTTTAAAGTCAAGATTATTTACATGTTGCTCTCGCGAAATTTGTAAATTACAGAGAATTAGGGAAGGAGGGATGTAAATATGGATTTAGGTTTTAAAATGGCCAGGGCATTATTGCTAAACCTGCTTTAATTTAACTACACTAATCAGAAACATAGTTTAAATTTTTCTGTCTATGTATATTCTATATTATCACTTCATTTTCTGAAATTTTTTTTTTATTTTGACATGTGTTGACAAAATGTGTACTCTCAACAATTGGTCCTATAATGACTAAAATAAAATACTTAACAAACGACTTGCAACGCAACGAGTGCGAACATTCTTTTGGTTGATTGACCGAACTGCTCGAAGCGATTTCACGTTCGTTCGTTTGCTAAGTAAGTTTTCTTAAACTTAATCATGTTCTCAGATGTAACACGCTAATCATTATCGACAATTATCAATCCAATATTTACATTTTGCAGTTTTAAAAATCAAACTCGGCCCATACTTACATCCTTTTCCTCAGTTTTTTTAAGATTTACTATTTATAACATTTGATATTAAGAAAAAGATATGATTCTTACATCTGAAATATATACGAGATTGACTTATATAAAAATTGACTGTGTTAACCATGTGTGATTGACCATGTGTTTGAAACTAGACATCTCTACAACCTAGCAGATCAATATGCGGATAGACGAAAATGAATTTTTTTTTTTTCGATATCGTCGCGCCAAGTACATAGTTTATTTAAGGAAGTTAAATCTCACTCTTAGTGAACCGGTATACAGCACCTTCCTGACATCTGAACTGATCACAAGCGTGATTCATTACAGAATATCGAGATTGAAACCAGCCGCAGAGTCGAGAGAGTTAAGCAGCTCTTGAGCGCTAAAATTCGACGTGTCTCCGGTAGGAAGATTCTCCAGAAATTCGAGACTAAAATCAGCGGCTGCCACAGACGGATCTGTAGTGGTGACCGACGGCGGCGGCGGCGGCGGTTGTTGTTGAGTATGTTGCTGCGGCGGCGGTAGACTGCGCACTCCTGGACTACCCGCTCCGTACTGTTGATGTGGGTGCAGCGGAGAACCTAAACAACAAACATTCACGAATATTATTTATTTTGGTACTATCTTTTTTTTTTTTTTTTTTTTTTTTTAATTGTCATATCTCTTTTACACGTATGTTAGTTTTGTTTAACTGTTTTCATTTTCTCAAATATATTAATAATTATATTTGTAATATTTCACAGATCACTCACCGGTTCCGGTAACGTTGGCCGAATTAACAGAAGTGGCCTGCGACATTTGCATTTGCAACGACATCTGATTATTGTTCTGCTGCATAGCCAGTGTTTGCTGTTGATGCTGTTGCGTCAACAGTTGTTGCATCTGCGCCGTGCTGTTGGCCATCCCCGATCCAGCTATACCGCCGTTTTGCGAACGGATTAACTGCTGATGTTGCATCTGCGCCGCGGTCATTTGCATTGTGTTGCCCGTGCCACCCATGCCAAAGCCACCTGCGGAAAATTATACGCGTTACGATAAAATATTTCACGTCACTTCTGCGAACAATAAATAGATTTATCGAAGCACATTTATCATTATATTCAATTTTCTAGCAACATATACATACATATATATATATATACATATATATATATATATATATATATATATATATTTATTTGCTTTTATTTATATTATCATATTTTGTGCAGAAGCAAAACAATAAAAGTCATTCGTTTCAACGGAATACCGACATTGCTCACAGAGATCAAGCTGAATTCCGACCGGACACGAACATCGCGATTGTCCCTTTTGGCAAACGCGATGATAGCAACAAAAGAAATTTTTTCTTCCCCCCGAATATTCACCTTGGTGACCTTGCTGGTTGAATTGCGATCGCATCTGTGCTTGAAAGCCTTGCTGCTGCTGCATCAGAACGTGTCGCCATTCCTGCTGAGCGCCACGACCCGCGATGCTGTTCCCAAGACCGTCCGGAGGACCAACGTTGACGTTAGGCGGCCGCTGATTGTTGGTTCTCGGATAGCCTAGCCGTTGGTGCATCTGATGCATACCGCCGATGGCAGCCATTCCACCGCCTCCCATGTACATATTACCGCCGGCCGCATGTAACGCCTGCTGCTGTTGCTGTTGCGCCATTTGCGGCCTCATCATTGGACCTGCGAAAAACACATCATAATGCACATTGTTCGTGATTTTACATTTCTAAAACAGTTCGATTTACATTCATACAATCGGTTTGTTTCATATACTTTTATATTTATATTTATATTACTTTATATATTTATATTTATATTACTTATATTTATATTTTATATTACTTTATATTTATCTTTTTTCAAATAACGTTCCGAAACATGTGAAGCATATAAGGTAATATAAAATAAAATAAAATATATACAAAAATATAATAAAAATATATATAAAATATATATTATAAATATATAAAGTATACGTGTACGTAGCTGTAGTATTGAGAAATATGTTGTATATCTATATTTATATTGATCGAAAAAAAAACACGTTTATATTGTGCAAAAACTAACTCAAAAACTATTTAATGAAAACGTGTGTTTAAGAACATTGGATAGTGAGATGAGCAATGCAAATTCGCAGATTTTTGTTCGAATGGAATCTCGAGAAAACCGTCGACCCGATCGATAGGAATCTTGTAGAATCCAGTGTGTGCGTAGGTACGTATAAAGGGGATAGTTTCGTCTCTCTCTCTCTCTCTCTACTTGCCTGTCCCTTCTCTCTCTCTACCTTGGAGCAAATTCAGTAGGATGTCAGAATCGCGTTTACGCTTGATCAAATTCTTTCCGCGCTAATATTCAACGTGTAATCCCCGCGTCAAAATATCGAGAACAGAGTTAAATGTATATATTCGCGAATACAACAAAATATGTCAAGTAACAAATCCCCGTTCCACTTGCAAACTAAACACAGTTTTCATATGTTTTCACTCGGCTGTTAAATTCTATCAGATGGCAAAAAACTAATAAACGCTTTATAGAAAGATTTTGTGTCACGGACTATAAATTAAAAAAAAAAGTCCTTTTTGAAACTAACCCGATGGTGGCATAGGTTGTTGCGTAACTCTGCGCATAGGTCCGGCATTCGCAAACCTCGCTTGCTGGCTCATCCCAATACTAGCGTGCATCATTTGCGCTTGAGCCGCAGCTTTATATTCAGGTGGCGGCGGTCTTACGCCCGCCATTCCGCCTGTCATGTGTTGTTGTTGTTGCATCACCTGTAAAAATAAAATTATACAAAACGTATACAACACACCATAAGTTTAAAATTATTAACAAGAAATATATAAGACCTTACGAGCCATTCGCAGAATGTTTGTGCGGAAACTGTGCGTGAGATTTCAATTAAAAAAAAAAACACTCACTTGTAAAAATTTACAAGTAGAATTCGTTACATGTGTGTATATATATATATATACACGCACAGTTACCGCACAAACATCCTGCGAATGGCTCGTAAGGCCTTATATATTTCTTGTTGATAATTTCAACGAGTCTTAAGTCTTAATTGTTTAAAATTATTATTTTAATTTTTTCATCAAATGAAGTATATAGTACAAATATCGAATAAATGAAGTATATAGTAAGTAAATATTTCAATTTATTCTATAGCAGATTCTTATTTGAAATTTAAATTAAACCTGCTCTTATCCGAAACTTAAGTTAAACCTAAATCTATCGTTTTCTATTTCAAAAACACAAAATTTAACCGACGATTCTCATTTTCTATATGAGAAGTATATAACTGGTGTAATCTTCAAAAAATATTTCTTTCTCTCACAAAGTTTCAGAAAGAAAAGAATCTGATACCAGTTCTGAGAATACCGATTATCACGCGATAATCCCTATTTAAGAAACGATCGACGAAGAAGAAGAAGAATCGCTAAGTATCAAACTTAAGCTTAAGGATCGTCGTAGTTCTCCTCCTCGATCTTTCGTGGAGCCGCGAGAGAGCAGAAGGGCGTTGCTCGCCTAATCGCAGGTTGTTGCTCGGTCGAGAGTGGAAAGAGACGCCGACGGTTGGCGCGACGAACGAGACGAGATGCGAGCGGTACGAACGAGCAAGAAGCGAATGAGAGAAAGAGAGAAAACGAAAGCGAAAGGGTAAACGTATCAGACAACGACGGTGACGAGGAAAGCGGCAGCAGGCTTGCCGCTGCCTTTCGGCTGCATCTCCTTGCCTTCCTTTGAGGCGGTTGCTGTTGTTTCTATTGTCGTACGTCTGTCCCGACGTCACGACGAACTTTCCTCGCGCCCGCGTAACACCAGGAAACGGGAAATGCAATCCTGACCGCTGCTTGTGTAACAACCGTGCCAAACCGTCGATCGCGGCAATTCGCGCGCGACGATGCATCAAACGCGCTCGCAATAGGTCACTGAGTTTACATCGTTTGATGAAAAGAAAGTGAGAAACTAAACAAGAACGCGTGCGTAAAAAAAAAACGCTTGAAGAATTTAAAGTCTTAAGATTAGTCAAAAATCGCGTCCGGTTTGTTGTATATCAATGATTGGTTTTCTTCAAAAAACACCAATGATTTTATTTCTCACAGAAAAATTTCTCATTAGAGGACAATTAATTGTATATTAAACAATTATGACTTAAGGCTCGTTGAAATTAAATACCAAGAAATATATAAGGCCTTACGAGCCATTTCCAGAATGTTTGAGCGGAAACTGTACGGAAAGCCGGAGATTCCAGGTTCGACTCTCCTGGCCGAGGAGTTTTTTTCGCAGTATTTTAAAAATTACACCGAAAAAATNGTATTCTTGTTTTGAGGATATCCCACTTACTTTAAGTATATTTTATACTAAAATAGGCGCCAAGAAGAGTTTCTTATTTTAAGAGAAAAATCCTCTGAATAGTAATAGTGATAAGAATATATACTGATTATAGAATATAAAAAAACTCTATAGAAAAACATATATATCTCACTATCGAAAAAGACTATATTCTTAAATTAAAAATATATTCTTAAATAAAGAATATATTCCTAATTTCAGAAGAATATCATCTAAAATCTTTAAGAAGATTTTTTAAGTATAATATCTTCTACTTACAAGAATATAATTTTGTCGGTGTACAGTTTCCGCTCAAACATCCTGGGAATGGGCTCGTAAGGCCTTATATATTTCTTGTTATTAATTGTATATATTAATTCGCGTTTTCAATGTGCGACGTGATCGATTAGATTTCCACACATCTGCTACAAGTTCGAACAATTCCTAGAACTCATAGACGGTCGCAGAAACGATAATGTTCATGTGCTGTTTCGCACGCGTTAACTATTCTAATAGATCGAAATGAACAGGGCCGATCATCTCGTCCAATTCCAATATCGTCGCAAGACTGTGAGTTAACATCTGTCGAGATTAAGCATGTTTTTTTTTTTTTTTTCTATTGCGTGTACAAAACTTCAAAACAGAATGCAAAGATTATTTGCCTTGTTAGGATTTGTCTTGCTGTTCTCAGAAAAAATTTACAAATTGATTTTAAAAAATTTTAAATTTATCATAAATTTCTCTCTCTCTCTCTCTCTTTTCACGAGTTTGGATAAAATCTTAAGTAAAACTCCGCACATTCTAATGTTCACGCGAATAAAATTATCGCTCTGCTTGCCGGTCATGCTTCCAGATGAGTGCCACTTTCTCGCTTATTGCCCGAAGTCGGATGACTAATCAACTGCGCGAAACATACAATTAGTAACTGGAGCACGAGCTATGTCGTTGTCTCTGGTACCTTAGTATTACCAAGATACCGATCGTTGCAACTGAGTCAATAGACAACGATTCACGAACGGTACGAGATCCAAACGCACGAAACAAGCGACTCATATTTAATTTTGTGTTTGTTGCGTCGATTTTTTGACACGTTCATAATTGTGACCGCAATTTCACGAATAAAAATACGATATTAAAATTCAAACCGCGAAGAATATAATAATACGCACACACATAGACATGTAAAATAACCAGTAAAGAGACCTTACAGCCTGTATGATCCACGAAAGGAAGTGGTTATGCAATAATTACACCGAAAAAATGGTATTCTTGTTTTGAGGATATCCCACTTACTTTAAGTATATTTTATACTAAAATAGGCGCCAAGAAGAGTTTCTTATTTTAAGAGGAAAATCCTCTCAATAGTAATAGTGATAAGAATATACATATACTGATTAGAATATAAAAAGCCTCTATAGAAAAACATATATATATCTCACTATCGAAAAAGACTATATTCTTAAATTAAGAATATCATCTAAAAAATCTTTAAGCAGATTTTTTAAGTATAAAATCTTCTACTTACAAGAATATAATTTTTTCGGTGTATATATTAATTATTTTGGACGTTTCGATCATTTATTTTAGATCATCTTCAGCTTATCTACTCGAATCCAGATGACCGCTAACACATGTCAGTAAGAGAAGTTACTTACTTGACTTCTCTCTTACTGACATGTGTTAGAAGTCAAGTAAGTAACTTCTCTTACTGACATGTGTTAGCGATCATCTGAATTCGAGTAGATAAGCTGAAGATGATTTAAAATAAATGATCGAAACGTCCAAAATAATTAATATATAATTATTTACATAACCACTTCCTTCCGTGGATCATACAGGCTGTAAAGGTCTTTTTACTGGATATTTCATAATTTTTCTGGGCCTGTCAATTTTTTCTTATATGTAAAATAACAAATTTAACTTATTTTGATTGAAAAAGTTTAATCGCTAACTTTTTCTGATCTTCAGAAGATATTTAAAAAATATTTTACCGTGAATACACACTTAAAATAAAATATAAGTAAAAAAAGATTCGTTTTTATGAAATTCTTGTTAAGAAGAAATTGTCTCAAATTACAAAACATCTTTAAATAAACGAAGTATGGAAAAGAAGATATGTCCATATCTTCTACCAAGTACACAGTGCTAGACAATCGGCAAATTAAAAATCTACTTATTGAATATCTTTTATCCGTTGTATCTGTATATTTCAGTGGATCACGTTTAAGACGTTCGAAGATATCGCAAATAAAAACAAATATGTCGATGATGCGTAATTTTATACGTAAAACGTGAATAATTGTTGAGGAAAAGCTAATTCATCGATAATAAATACTTCAGCTGTTCTGATATCACAGAGTTTCGCGAGGAAACTTCGACGCGGCGCAAAAACTTTTCGCCCATTGTTCCCCGTCTCTGAGAAAGCCCCCTTCGCGCAAGCTATTTGTCCTATTTGTGTCGCTTCTTTCAACGCGCGGCGGGACAGAAGTTGCAAAAGACCTAGCAGAGTGGTACCTGTTGCATACGAACGTCGCGCAGGGTGTTTTCTCTCTCTCTCTCTCTCTCTTTCTCTCACAGACACAAGCTTAATGTCTCGGATAATGTGCCATCGGCGATATCGCACCGCAATCTCGCGATCGTCTTACAAAAGTGATAGTCACGGTGGAAGTTTCGCGTGGAACGATACTTTGTTCATCGACGATAAAAAAAAGCCGGAATTGCGAGTCTCGCGAGCGCGTAAACCCGAGAAACATCGGCAAAAATACAACGAACGCGATAAAGAAAAGAATAATAAAATCTAGCTTACCTGCTGCGCACGCATCAATTGTTGTTGCTGAAGCAACTTGGCGTGCTGATGCTGATCGACCTGATTCGGCGGCACCTGCTGAGGATGGCGCGTGCCGGGACCGCCGGCACCAGGTTGCGGCACTCCGCCGGCGGCCGCAGCCGCCGCTGCTCGTTGCCGCAGGCTTTGTTGAGTGAAGTTGATAGTCTGTGACTGCGAAACCGAGCAGTAGGTGTCGGTCTGATTGGCGGGCCCGGTCTGATTCTGCGACTGCTGCTGATTGAAGTACATGCCCTGTTGCGCCGCGACGGACACCGCCGGCTTCAGGTCACCGGTAAGCTGCATGTGCTGTCCGGCCGACACCTGCAAGTAAAAATAGAAAGAATATATATATATATATATATACATATATAGCGTTAAAAGTAACATCAGATGATGATTTTGTTAATTGTTAAAAGTGTCAAGTTGCGGATACACCGAAAAAATTGTATTCTTGTTTTGAGGAGAGATATCCCACTTACTTTAAGTATATTTTATACTAAAATAGGCGTCAAGAAGAGTTTCTTATTTTAAGAGGAAAATCCTCTAAATGGTAATACTGATAAGAATACTGATTAGAATATAAAAAGCCTCTATAGAAAAACATATATATCTCACTATCGAAAAAGACTTTATATTCTTAAATTAAGAATGTATTCTTAAATAAAGAATATATTTTTAATTTCAGAAGAATATCATCTAAAATCTTTAAGAAGATTTTTTAAGTATAAAATCTACTTACGAGAATATAATTTTTTCGGTGTATAGATAGATGTGATATATCTACTTATTTTTTTATGAAACATTTTCGGAGAGTGTTCGATCTGTTGATAGCAAAAAAACAACTCTAGTCACAAAGAAATGTTTTTTCATATTAATATTTATATGTAAATAGATCCTGTAGAGATAGAACTAATAAACGTCGTACATACGATGACGTATTTCGAAGTATGCTTTATTGCAGTTAATGCATATAGTGCTCATTTATCTGTCGACATAGATGTATGTGTAACAGCAAAATGTCAAGACTGATGTGTTTAGCGATGTGGTTTTCCAGCGCGTGATCTTTTTACGATGTGACATCATGCGCATCGCAACATTACGAGCATGTGAAAAACAAGCTCGTATCGAATCGACCTTAAATACGGGATTCGAAATGTTTGAACGCGGAATATTTTGGCTGACGCCAAAAGTCGGTTTCCGCTCCTTTAAACGCTTTAACAACACGTCCGATTGCTAACTCGTTAATTGGTATACGCGGCAAAAATGTTGTGTGAGAGGCCTGTTAAACCCCTCTTGCAAAATTACACACCCTCCCGCCTGGTAATCATCCCGCTACCAACATTTTTTTTATCAGACGTAGATCTTGATTCTTTTCTCGGTGCAAAACATGTGACATAGTTATTTGTATCGTTCATTTTATTTTCACCGTAAAATATAAATGAAAACTACTAAAAATCTTTTTTTTACATTAAATTTGAGAAGTCAAAATTAAATCTAGATTTATAAATTTCAAGATAACTCTCTTGTGATTTATTGTGCTATGTTTATATATTTTTTTTTTCTTACACGCGAGTTTAACGAAAGATGAAGTCGTGAAAAAAACAAAAAACATTTTTTTCTAACATCATCGACAGACACATGTATTTCTGTCACGGAAAGTCTGGAATTTAGGGTTTTAGAAAAAGACGTTCGGCCTCCGCGAGCAATGATTATTCTTCGTCGCTCGTTGCTGGTGAGCGTGTTGCTCACCGGCAGTGATACAAAATGGCTACCGCGTTCTTTTATATATTTCATACCGCACGACGGAAGAGAAGCAAAGAGAAAAACGACGAGCAAAGAGCCACTACTGTATGTGGATCGTGTACTGCGGATGACCCTTCGATCCTCGCTAGCTATCGAACCTCCGTAATCTAGTTGCGAGTTTGTATCTCGATATACGTGTATATATATATATATATATATATACATGTATACACACGCGCGCGCGCGCCAAAGTTCGTTTCCTAGCCCTGCGAGACTCAAGCATCGCCAAATTGGCAGGTATATCGTATATCGTCGCGTCGCTCTTGCATTTATATCGAAATTGGCGAACGTTTCATCGTTCGACTATCGAGTTCGCGTCGGAAACGTTCAGCAATTCGAGAAAAAAAAAAGACATTTTCTCTCGATTGTGAGCAAAGTTTACACATATAAAACAAGATAGAGTTTACACGCTCGTGTAAGAACACACAGACACGATGACAGACTCTTTATGCAAATGCACAGGTGTGGAGTCGTTTTCTTCAGAACGATAGCCGTTCTGTGTCTGCTAAAATGTCGAGATACGTGTATGTGAGTACAAGCGCACATATATCCCTTTGCAAATGCGCGGCACGTAAGAGTAGCGATGTACGGGAGGATAATTGTATATATATACGCGCGCAAAGATCGGTATTTGAGCAAAATCTCTGTGCAATCTTGCTATATACGCGTACCGCACAGTATGTAACGTTATTGTACCGTGTATATATACATACCATACAGTGACGTGTGCGCGTTTCTAGACTCTATGTATATACAACTACATTTACATGAATAAGGGAGTTACAATTATCACGTCTATCCGCGCATCCGCTCGATGCGCGCATGTGTATTTAGCATGACAAGCAGGTATGACATACATATACTATATACATATATATATATATATTTATATGTATAGCGTATGTACACAAGATCTATTTACTATTTGAAGATTAGATTGTGCGAGCAAAATATTTAACGCAAACAGTTATTACAATTTTACACCATGTAAAACAAATCTGTTAACGTATAGAAGTAGTTTTATTCGTGACAATCAAGGAAGTTTGCATATAAACCGCGAAAAGGCTCGTTCGGAACACGCCGCATGTATACATTCGCACACATAATAATCAAGCACGGGGTAGAGAAACGCGAATAGAAATGCAAAGCATGCAAAGGCATGTCGCGCGCGCGCGCGCGCGTATTCGTAATGCGTAAATACATACAAGTGTGGACGCGGCGCATCGGCAGCACAGGACGCGCACAGGACGCGCAAGAGTAAACGCAACGAAAATTCGCACGGAGTGGTTGCTCGCGGATCTGAGACAGGTACACGGTTGGATTTACCCGGCGAAATGGACATATAACACGCATACACGCTTATATACTCTTGTAGATATATATCTATATATATATATATATATATATATATACACGTATACGCGTATGGGTTAACACGGTGGTGTGGCTGAGAGGTCGCGTATCCCGGCAGGACGCATAGAGATACGCCTGCTGGTAGGAGAAACCTACTCGGTCGCGCATAATTAGCCTAAATCACGACGGCGTCCCCCGTCGAGAGAGCTCCTGGACGCGACATCTGCATAGCGCGTATCTTGTTACCGCGGACGCTTATAAGGGCGAAGAGGAACTGAGAGAGCGCAAAGATGGTTCGGCGAAAATCCTCTCGCTCTTATAAGGACGCTCCGGAGAGAAGAACGAGAAGAGATGGCGCCGCGTCTATGGTTATATCGCGAGGAGGATAAGAAAGGGCGCGGTGTGTGTTCACTGAGCATACTAATGAGATGCTGACACGGAACGCGCACGACGACGCTTTCCGCTCGAAGTGTGTCGAAGATTTGACACTTTGGGTGCAAAATCTCAATCCGGGGAGGAGATTTTTTTATCGACCAAACTTCTTTGCAATTGGAGTATACGGCGCAGTTCGAGCTACGACGGGGGAGGAGTTGACAGGCGAACAATATTTCTCTCCGAATTTTGTATCCGAAGTGTGTATTTCGATTTCGACGTCGAAGTTCGTAATAACGAAAGCGGCGAAAGCAAAATCAAAAAAAAAAAAACGTAAAAAAAAATGCTGATACGCGGGGCTCAAAACGAACGGATGTGTTCGTGTAGAAAAATCGATAATTACATTGATATTCTCTCGAAGCTCCCGCGCAATTAAGCTTGGTTAATGATGTGACTGCCATTAACGAGTGATTCGCACAGGAGCCGTGGAATTAAAATATCCTATAAAGCACAAACCGTTCTTTGAGTTCGATCAATTTGTTATATCCACTCTGTGTGTGTGTGTGTGTGTGTGTGTGCGCGCGCGCGCGCGTTCTCTCTCTACACAATATTAAAAGAATATATTACATTAACAATCTTTTTTTGGTGCGTGCACGTCATTTTTATATCTAATCTTTACTATATATTATCATGATCGATTAACAGTCATTGAGAACCGGTGTTTAACATATTTCAAATCCACATTCCGCCACTGACTCATCCGCGTCCGTAACATGTAAAAACTTAATCGCTATATACATATTTATAATAATTTATTTAAATGCAATATCAAATTAAAGTAATATATTTGGATAATTTCATATTATTGCGAAACTTTTCTCTTCATTTCGATACGGTCCAATTAATATCCATTATCCCTTTTTCGCATCTCGGACTTCTCCGATAGAGAGAGAGAGCGTTTAATACCCGCGATTACTACTCTTATCTGAGAAATCTGTTATCTTGATTATTGCCATGCAATAGCAAAACTCGTTACACGCGAGACGTTATCTCGCAAAAATCAAAGTTATTTTACAATCGTATATTTTTTATAATCAAATATCTTTTATATAAAATATACGAAAAATAGAAATTTTTACAACATCCATTGTTAAATTTTTCTATCAACGATCGTTTCAATGATAATTTTTATTAAAGCATAAAAAAAACATCGCGTTGTAGATAAACAGTGATTAAAAAAATCTGTTTCCAATAGAATAAAAATAGTATAAAAAAAAAACGAACGTTTGGGAAGAAAATGTTCTCCGTGAAATGTGGAAGTTTATGTTTAATGAAACTATACAAACCGCCGTTATTAGTATATAGGTACTGCACAGAGCCATCGTGCTCTGCCACAGTCGATACACTCGGCGATAGCGGCACGTACTTATATTACGTGCATGCCCGTGAATGCGCACAACACGCGGTTGAGGAATCGCATTGTGACTAGTATTGCGATGTTATAATCGCTAATCATAGATATTTGTGCGCGAGGAAGAGCCCCTATTTTACCAGATAATCCTCGGATTGCGTACGCGGAGAAATTGCCAAAACTGTTTTTTAAGCGACTGTGTGTGTGTGTACAGAAATATCATAAAAGATATAATATTTTTAGAAACATACTATTACACTGAGTTTGTTTTGTAAGTCATTTCATCCGATTAAAATTTATTTATCTGTTTTACATACAACTTGTCTATTTTATACTTATCTATTTTATATATAACAAAAAACGCAAATGATGGAGAATCGAT